CCCTCAAAACATTAATTAAAATTCAAGAATGATCATTTAAACTGCAAAACGGAAATGTCGTTTTGTGTTTTCCAAATGTGATTCTTATGTTTTCATTAAGAAAAAATACCAGAAACCATATTACATGTCAAACAATAAGTTGTTTTGTATGTGGATTTTTGTTTTTATCATGTGGCGTTGTAGTAAAATTTGTCTGCGGTTCTCTTTTACTAAACAAAGCAAACAGAAGTGAAGAAAGTCGGTGTGCGTCAGTTTATTCCCTACTGTCTAATTAAACAACACAAATCCGTACGGTGTTTTTTTTGTTTCAGCTGCTGTTTCATCCTCTGCTCTCTGTTAAACTAGTTAAAAATCAAAGAGGCAAACCTATAAAATGATTAATTTTGTTCTTTTAAACAAACTATTTCTTGTAAAACTTGGTTTGCCCATTACATGGCTGTTTGTTTTTGTGCTGGATCGTCTGTAAAAGAATCTGGAGGACCTTTAATTTCAGAAACCAACAACTTGGCGACTGCTTTGTTGTGAATTTGTATTTTATTAGTGAATTAATTAAAAGCTTGAACCTTTACAGTACAGATGATAAATCTTTGCTTTTTTTTTTCTGCATCCACTACTGCTGGTCTTTTTCATTGAATTTATGCTAAAAAATAGCAGCTAATTTAAAGAGAAATGCAAAATAATGACTTTATTTCATTCGTACAGAATGTGTTTGCCGTTCTATAAACCCAGAGCAGGAAACTTTACTGGAGCTGCAGAACGGTTTCATTTTCTTTCCGTCATATTACTCAGATCTGAGTCTTTGTAAATAACCCCCCTGCTGCCCAGCGTCTCCTTTGTGTGCAGTCATGATGACATTTATACACAAAGAGCACAAAGTACAAACCTCACAGAGTGACAGTGAAAGGAAAGATCTGTTTGGCACAACGCTGGAAAATGTGGGGGAGAAGGGGGACATGTTGTCTTTATGCTGCTTTAGGATCAAATGTACAGAAAGCTTAGGGCGTCGCACACACATGCATGTCTTTCTGTCCTCCAAACCCTAACCATCACAGTTAGTTTGCAAACTTAAACCCTAAATCTCTTCCCAGACTTTTTCAAACATAAAGTGCTCCCTGCACCGTTTTCCTCCTCACCTTTTGCCTCTTCGCCTTCCTGGTGTGATGTTTGAGGCCCCCCCCTGGACAATTCCCACGCTACGAGGAAAGAAAACAGGACGGACCGTATGTGCGTGTGTACATTTTTGACATTTGGTCCTGCAACTAATCTCCCAATCTGAAAACATCTGGTTCTGTTGGTACCTTTATGAATCTGTCTCGCACGTTTAGCTGAAAGTTTCTTAAATCCTTCGACCCTGATTCCCGTGAGCGCTTCATGGTCGTGCAAGTATGAACGAGAAGTGGAGGCGAGGGAGTTTTTCTGATCTAAGTTGTGGCTTTTCGTGCTAAAACAGTGATTTATCCTCAGAAAATCACCGAGAGTCTGACAGATGTTTCATACGTAGGTGGCTCAGTGTGTCCACATGTGTCTTACAGACACGAGCAACGTTGTGGAAAGAAATTACGTTATGTCCCTACAATGCTGTTACACAACTTGTGTAAGACATGTACACTTAGAGGCTGGAAGTAAATTAACAAAAAATGGTTTGCAAAATCTTAACATATTAATCAAACGCTTGCTTAAATGAAGAATATTTTAACTTAAACAAACTTGAATGTGTTCTTTAGGAGTGGGGGGGGGGGGGGTTGTAGAAAATATGTTGCCCTCTCTCTGCTGTAAACTAAACATCCTGGGAACAAAAGCCGAGGTGAGGATGTGGGTGTAAAGGCTTGTGTTTGTGGCGGACGGAGGAAAGTTTATTAAAGCGGAGCTTAACGAGAGAAAAGGGAATGTTGGTGTACGTCAGAGACACAGAGAACAATGCAGGACACAGGAGGCAGTCCAAGGTCAACCTTTAGGTTTTGATCCAACTGCAGAAGACGCCGTCTCGTCCTCCTGCCAGTCTGCCTGCTCGAAGTTAGACCAGCAGGGTTGCAGTCAGAGCAAAAGATGAATAAATTCATCGGTTCGTGTGTGACGGTTACATGATGTGAGGAAAGTGTCGCTGTGATGGTTTGTTGTCATCAGACATTGCAGGTCTCACTGGTTTTCCTGCTTAAATGAAGCGAACTGAAAACTAAAAAACACGATTAGCATATGCTTTTTCTTAATCTAAAAGTTAAAGCTTTCATAGATTATTGTGCAGTGCATAACAAGAGGAGAGCATCAATTAACTTTAGTGCAGTTGGACGCGTGGACTTCTGTTGCAATGCCCCATATTCCTCAGCAGGGGGCGCTGTGCTCCTGTTTAAAGCCACAGACCAGCTGCAAGATCTGGTGCAGCAGCTGAAAATATCTTTCAGTTCATTGTTCTCTTGTATTTATGAATTAATGTTCAGTAAATATTTGTGTTGGATGAAACGATTAATGATGGCTTAAACTCTGATTCATTTTTCTATGCTTGTAAAAATAAATTTAAAGACTTATGAATGGTGTACACATGAACCAGGTGGTTTATTAGCTCCTGTCATATTTTATTTATGAAGAAGATCTTCTTTGTCTTCTGCGTGGTGATGAACAGCTTTCTGCTTTGGGATGACTCTTCGCAAAGAGATTTTTTATCTGAAGTGTCCTGTTCCTCTGGCAAGATGGTTTTAAAACAGCTGAAGGTAACCATTGTTTGCTGCAGGGAGCTTAAACGCTGCTGATGTCAGCTTAAAATGTCTGATTCTTTAGGCGAGTAGCTTCTCACACAAATACTCAGCTGAACAAAGGAGGAAAGGAAAATATAAATATTTAGTACAAAGATGTGGGGAAGAGACCTTTGCTACACCAGGGGTTACCTTGTAGGATCTAAAAATAGACTCTTGTAAAAACAAAAATGTGAAGAAAAAAAAATCTAATCTGCGAGAAGAAGGGAGACGACGAGGAGGAGGAGGGGGGCACCTACGTAAGCACCGCTCGCCTCTTAGTTCACCTCTTTCCTGTCAAGCAGATCTATTTTTAGCTTCTGACGTCACTGGGCTCCTCTGAGCCTCGTCACGCCCGACTACACCGAGCTGGGAGGGAGGGGTGCACGGCGGTGGTGTGGGGGGAGTTGTTATCATTGAGGTAAACCCTGCTGCTGCAGCCCTGCCCCTCTCCATCATGTCACACCAATCAGGTGTGGGTAACTGAACACATCACAGAGCTGGATGCAGCCTTCCTCCTCCTCGTCCTCCTCTCTCAGTCTCAGCTTCTGTGAACTGGGCCCGTTTCATTCAGGATCAGTTGCATAATAACCATCTTTCATTTATCTGAGCTATTACTGGCGGAGCCCAGGAGGCAGAGCTAAAAATAGACAGAGAGGCAACCTTGCTGCTCTGCTTATTGATACGAGTGAGGACGGAGGGAGGGGAGCCACCGTTGACCAGAATGGATGAAATTGACAAAAACACACTTGAAAATCTGTTAATTTCTCATCAAGGTCTCCACTCTGTCCGGCTGCAAAAATCACACGGCACGTCTAAATAAAATGTGGACGGTTTAAGTTAAAAAAAAAAGAGCAAAAAGGATTTGGCTTTAGACTTTTAAAACACCGTAAAATGAAATCAATAATGGCTCAGATTACTATAGGGTCTGTGTGTCCTTGAGCAAGGCACAGTTTGGTGAGTACAACATGCAGTTTAGAGTCTGACCTCATCTTGGTGGAAACGGGTTTTTATCGACGTCCAACGTAGTTGTGATGGAGCTGGATTGAATCAATAAAAACTTTGATAGAAATTATTTCTTTTTGGGCCGACGGATAAAATCTGTCTGCAGAACTTTGACTTGACGTCTCCGCGGCTTTCTGCACGGTTCGTACCTGAATGTACCCGGTGTGTCTGACGGATCGAAGGCAGAACTGGTGCGAAGGTTATAGGTAACTGTGCTGATGTAACGCGCCTGTGCTGACGTCATTAAAGATAGCAGAGACAAAGTTGTGCGTAAGCATGTGTTTGATTGTGAGATGCCAGTAATGACAAGGTGACCTGTCCGGCTGCCAAACACAGGGACTGTTCGCTTGTGGACGTTCAGCAAAGCTGTGCAGGTTTCTTTAACGTTTCTGCTTCTTGTTGCACGTCTTCATCCTCCTCCTTCATTCTCTAAGTGAATGCATGGCAGCCTATGTAATGATTTTAATATGTTTTAATTGTCACAGTGGTTGTGGGACTTTACCTGAAATGCTCAACTTGGTTTTATGTCCGTGCTTCAAGCCCTCTCAAAGTTAGAGTTTGGATCATTTAATAGCTTTAAACACATTTTCAGAACCACTTACTTTGATTCTATAGCATTTTAATGTATGTGCACATGCCGGTTTTACACTAGTTTTATCAAAAATCCTCACTTCCCAACCAAGCCTTAAATTATTTACGCTGCTATACAAAATGTTATATTTTGAAGCATTCAAAAGACACAGCAAACCTTGGAGGTCTTTATCACAAACACAAATTAGAGTTATTTTATCTGTTTAGGAATTAAGGCCAAATATTTAACATCCCATTTTAGGAAAACTTTTTAAATATTTGCAGCATCTGAGCAGTAAGTGTGAGAATGCAGACGAGAAACTAAAATAAACTCTGCAAAAACTGGATGATTATCAGATTACAATAAAATAAAAATACAATCATCTCGTTTTATTATCTTTGCACAATGATCTTTAAAATCACTGACTGATGTTGGTTTTAATGTTTGTTTTATTGCTTTCATAAAATAGATTTATTTTAAACCGTTTAATTGATTTAAAAAACCTGTAAAATAATCTCTTATGAGATGGACTGTGCAGATTGTGGTCATTAGTCTTCATGCTCACTGATTTCACTTTATTTTACACTTCCTGTTTAGATTTTTTTTATATATTAGAAAAAATTGGCTACTTTTGTTCTGACACAAACATTTAAAGAACAACACTTAAAAAAAAAATCCTGTTTTGTGTGTTTTTGCAGTTTTGATGTGGAGAATGGCCTGCCGGTGGGTCGCAGTCCACTGGACTCTCAAGCTAGCCCGGGCTCTGGTTTGGTTCTGCAGGCCAACTACCCCCACAGTCAGCGCCGCGAGTCTTTCCTCTACCGCTCCGACTCCGACTTCGATCTGTCGCCCAAAACCATGTCTCGCAACTCGTCCACTGCCAGCGACCTGTGAGTATTTTAGCCCTTTCAGTTTCAAGCCGCAGCCTCGGTTCTGTCTGAAACTGGAGAGTTGTTCATTTTCATTTTGTGTGGGAGGATTTATCTATTTGTTTCACAGCTTAAAAATAAACGAATGCTTGTTACTTATTAAATTTGGTTGAAGAGAACAAATTCTTTTGAAATTGCCTGAAGGACAGGTAGGTGCAACATCAGAAATCACCCTCGTCGAGCTCATTTGCAAGCAGAAACTTTTAAATTAGATTATTTACAAGTTGTATAAACAAGAAAAAAAAAGACAAAACTAGAAAGTTCCTGGAAAAACTTTGACGGGGACTGCAACGTTGCAACCTTTATAATTTTTTTTTATTTGACAGTACTACGTGTTTTTGCTCTCAGCTACCAACAATCCAAATTTCACCTCAATGTGATAAAAAATCAATCGGGTATAGTCATTTATTACGTTATGGTGGCCATCTTGGATTTTTGATTTGGATCCAATATGTGATGGGGAACGTTCTCAGCTACCGCCACACCAAATTTCAGCTTAATATCCCTAAAAATGGCTGATTTATAGCATTTTTTTCCGTTTTAGCACAGGCAGCCATCTTGGATTTTTAATTTACCTTAAGCTTGTTTAAAAACTCACTCTCAGCTACGATCATACCAAATTTCAGCTCAATATCTCAAAGAATGACTGAGTTATAGTCAATTGTGTGTTTTCCGAGTTAGCTGTGGCAGCCATCTTGAACCAAAATGGCTCCAAAAGTTAATTGTTCAGAGACTTCTCCACTCTGGGTCATGTGACCTCGCCGTGGCAGCTGGAGGCTGTTGAGCGTTCTGTCAGTGTTTTTCAATTGGAAAAATGGTGTCTTTGTTTTTAGGTTACGTCGCCACGGTAACTCAAAACAGCAGCAAAAGTAATAGCACACGTCACGGTGCCGAGTCGGTCGTTTTGATATTAGCTTTGTGGGGGGTGCACATTGCGGTTCGGGTCGCATTAAAGTTGAAGAAAGAGCAAGATCCTTTTCAGGTGGATAATAATAGGGGGCTGCCTTTCTGGGCATTTTTCATTTCATTTTGTTTTCACCCTCTTCAAACTAACAGCTGTTTAAGTAAAGTGTCCGACTTGTTTTTGTGTCATCGAGGGGCAGAAGCCGCCGTTAGATGAAAGAGGCTCCATATTTTAGGACATTTTTGTTTAAAACTACATTTGACTGATATTTTTGTTTTAATTATAGCCCAGTATTCACAACTTCAGATGGAGAGTTTATGTACTAATTGAACAGAGCTGCGGTGTTTCTTATCAATCGAAGTATTTTATACGAAGTCGTGTTTGCAAGTATTTTTTGGTATCTGGCTTTAAAGAGACTTTTGGCTGCGCGGCTAAAGATTGAAGTCCAGGAGCAAAGCAGCAGAGTTGTTGCAAAGCACGGGGCAGCTCTAAAGGTTTCTCTGAGCAGCCAGAAGTCTGTTTGAAGCCAGACATCGTGCACGTGGAGCCTCCACCACCAACAGCTGTCGCTCCTTTGTTTTGAAGGGAGGAAGGATTGAAGCAATGGGAAGTCAGTTGGTTACCTCGGTGAGACATCGTGTGAAGATTGCCGTGTTTGTTTGTGTTTGTTTGTTCCTGTCTCTGGGTCGTCCCTTCTGTCCGCCCCTCCGTTTCCACGTCACCTCGTCGTGAACGTGACGTGAGGAGCTGAGGTCCCAGCAAGCATTTGACAGAGGTGAAAATCTCTGCGTCTTTGAACGCTTTCGGACATTTTCATTAATGGCTTTTATTTTTTGTGTTTAGACACTGACTTTGCAAAGTTTCAAACAATTCAATTTTTCAGTTCAGTTTATTTCTATAGCGCTAAGTCACAACACGTCATCTCAGGGCACTGAACAGAAACATTCATATATAAAAATAATAATTTAACATTATTTATCTGAGGAGCAGACGGATTTGAATTATCTCCGTCACAGACTCTCATCTTGAACAAGCACGAAGGCGACAGTGGAAAGAAAAAACTCCCTCATGAGGAAGAAACCTTTAGCAGATCCAGGATCAGGACAAGCGGTCTTCTGCTTCGACCGGCCAGGTTTGAGAGGACAGGAAGGAGGAACAGATACACAATGGCAGATCAAGAATCACATGTTACGATAGAAATAGTATCAAATGCAAACCATTCAATTTTAACAATTCATTTAAGGAAATGAGGTCAGTTTGTCCTCTAGTAGTCTAAGCTTAAGGCTTCATAACAAGCCAACCCTAACTATAGGATTTATCAAGAAGGAAAGTCTTAAGCCCAGTCTTAAACTGGACAATGTGTCAGCCTCACGGACAGAAACTGGAAGTTGGCTCCACAAGAAGAGCCTGATAACGGAAAGATCTTCCTCCCATTCTGCTTTTGGAAACTCTAGGAACCGCAAGTAAGCCTGCAGTCTGAGAGCGAAGTGCTCTGTTAGGATAATTAGTAAAATTATTTATCTAAGGAAGGAAGGAAGCCAGCAGATTGCGTTGAGTCTTCATTTTATCACAGTCTCCAATCCTGAGCTAGCACAAAGGCAACAGTGGGAAGGAAAATCTCCCTTATAACAGGAAGAAACCTCCAGCAGAACCAGGCTCTGGACGAGCGGCCATCTGCTTCGATCGGCCTGTTTGAGATAACAGGAAGGAGGAACAGATACACAATGGCAGGTCCCTCACTAGGAAAGACAAAAAAAATAAATAAATAGAAACAATTACAAATACAAACTTTTCATTTGTATCCATTTGATGATCCAGTAGTTTAAGCCTATAGCGGCATAACTAAGGGATAGGTCAGGAAACCCAAGCCGACCCTGACTATAGGATTTACAAAACAGCGTCCAAATGTTTGCTGGCCAGCAGTCTGACTTACCTTTACCCAGCAGCATGGTGTGATGTCTGAAGCTGCATGATGTGACACTAAACCTCCAGCTTCTCCAGCAGCACCCAGAGCATGAGCACTCCTCCTAAACTACTGTTCCAGATGTGCAACTGTGTTTTTTGTACGTTCAGGGAAACACGAGTCTGTTTCTGGGTTACTATCGCTGCTTTTCAAGCCCTGCAGTCAAAGATGTTCCGTAACCTCCTTCCCTTTTAGCTCTTCACGTGTGTTTTTGTGTAACTAATATGATCCACTCCTCCTCTCCTTTCCTCCAGTGTTGTATCCAGTGCAAACTGCAGCTTTCGTCCTAAAGTCCCCATTGTACTGTCACTGTTTGTGTTTTGAGATTTATACATTACGTGTAATCTGATTCAATCTGTCCTCTCACTTTACTTTTTCACAAATTGTCTGTTTTCTCAGGCATGGAGAAGACATGATCGTGACTCCGTTTGCACAGGTGAGTCATGTTAAAACATCTATTAGTGCTACGCACTTTTTTTTTGTTGTTGCAAATTAGAGGTTTATCCTTGTTTTAGAGTTGAATGAATACACAAATCTCACCACATTTTATTTGTTGTTTGTAAATGTCCTTTTTGGAGATTTGCCAAGCCTTGAAATTGTTTAGTTATAAAAGATTTATTAGTCCAACAGTTGTGTGGCTCATAAAAGCATTATTTGCTGTTCTTATGAGCACAACGGAGCTGAAAGCATAATTTTAACAGAAGGAAAATTTCCCTCAGATTTGCTTCATTTATTTTATTATTATTTATTTATTAAGCTTTGTTTAACCAGGCAAATCCCACTGAGATCACTTTTGCAAGGGGGCCTGGGAAGGCAACCTAACATGCATGTTTTTTTGGGCTGTGGGAGGAAACAGGATAGAAAGACCCCAGGTCCAACCTGGGGATTTAACCCATGACCTTTTTGCTATGCAGCAACAGAGCTAACCACCAATCCACCAAATATGATAATATCCTGGGTTGTAAATCTCAACAGTCCCCCCGTCTCTCTAAGAAAACAGTTGCAGATTTTATTAAAGATATTTGGGACCATTTTACAATAGGTGGCTAATAAATAATTTATATATACGTTATTAATTCCTCTTTAAACGCTTTATAAATCATTAATAACTGCTTATTATTCATTAATTAAGGGTCGCAGACACTTTATCACTGCATTAAAAGTATCTACAACAATAGATACTTATAATGCAGTGATAAAGTACAATATTATATGCTAAATAAATTAGGTTTAGAAATGCTTATTGCGCTTACAAGGTAGAAACTTAGTCTGAAATGTTAAATATAACAACTCTAGATTAAATATACTGTATAGATGAACAGATTTGACTCGTTATTTGGCAACAAGCTGGTCAGTTTTGTCTCTGTCACCCTTAATTAATGCATAATAAGCAGTTATTAATGATTTATAAAGTGTTTATAGAGGAATTAATAATGTATTTATAAACTATTTATCAGCCATCTATAAGGGGAGCCTTATTGTAAAGTAAATAATTTATCAAATTAATGCATAATTCTCATGGCCAAAGTTTAGCAGAGAATCATGTCTTACTTCGGCGTTATTCTCAGTCCTTGCTGCCTTTCAGCAGACAAGCGTTTCTTTACAAACAGATAAGACAAGTTCTCTCCAAAAAACCCATTTGACTTTAGGACGGGCCTTACTCACCAGTCTGAGAAATAAGAGATGGTTCATTTTTCACAGAAAACACCCACACACATTCTCTTTGTACTGCACAGCTTGTTCTGAGTATTCCTCAGTTTGAGTCTGTTTTTTTTCTCATTAACGCACTCTGTAGACATGGGATGTTTTCAAATTAATATCCAGCATTTACTTTAGGTTCAGCTGCAGCTGACGTTAAATGCTTTATCCATATAATTAGTCAACAAAATACGTTAGCATGCTCGTCTGTTCGCCTTAGCCCAAAAAGTTTTAGCAGATACTTTTTGCATGGGGTCTAATTTTTGCACGACTTGTGTTTTATGCATCTTGAGAATTCACATAAGCAGAAGCAGAAAAAAAATCCAACCAAAGTAAAGAACGTGAGGCTTGCAGCTTAAAATATTTGCTGCAGTTTTAATGTTAATATTGAAATGCTAGCGGCTCCCTGCTGACTTAACACTGTAGTTAAAAATATCATCTTCCATCCACAAAGTAAATAACACCCAAAGAAGCTTTATGTTGTGTGCAAACAAATAAAAGTCTTTGTTTAGTTTTTTTATTCCTTCTCTTGTTTTTACCTCTAGGTTCTGGCCAGCCTGCGAACAGTCAGAAGTAACGTTGCTGCTTTGACACATCTTCAGGACCGTGTGGGAAACAAGTAAGAGGAAGAAAACAGACCGGATGACTAACTGCTCGTTCTCTTTGTTGAAATGATAAAACCTCCGTCTGTTTCTTGTTTCAGACGACCGTCAGGCACCAACCAGCCTCCCATGTGCAAGACGTGTCTCTCAGGTACGGTGGGACATGGTGAGGTGTCTCCAGTTTTAATCACATGCACATAAACTTTATTGTTAAAGGAATGGAGCTATGGTTGTTGTTGCAAATGATGCTCCATCTCATGCAATACTGCAAGATCTCGCAAAATGTAAGGATGACTCTCAGCTACTACCACGACAAATTTTAGCTTAATATTTGGAAAACTCACAAAGTTGTAGCTATTTTTGAGCTTCCTGAAGTGAGTTGCACGTGGCAGCCATCTTGAATCAATCTAACTCCACAAGTTGTAAACGTCGACCCAATAACGAGTTCCTGAGAATTTCATTAAAATCCGTTCAGTGTTTCCTGAGATATTTTGCTAACAGACACACAGATGACGTCACTAGTTAATGGCTACATTTAAAAATGGATCGGAGTTTGTGTTGGGAATGAATCTCAGCTACTACCACACCGAACTTTAGCTCAGCGTCTGTAAAACTGGCGGATTTACAGACGTTTTCGTGTTTGATTTTGCCAAGCTGTGGCGGCCATCTTGAATTAGGCTGACTCCAAATGCTAATTATATATAGAGGTACATCAAATTATTGCATTCTGAGAGTTTCATCTAAATTCATTCACCGGTTCATGAGATATTTTGTTAACACTACAAACAAACACTTTGACGTTGACGTTTGGCTGCAGATTTTAAAGCATAAAAATCTGAACTTGGTTCTTAATTGTTCAGTTTCTTCTTTATTAATTCAGTAAATGAGTTTGTTGTTTTTTTGTCAGAAGAATAACGCGTTGCAGGAAGAGGTTGTTTTGAATTCACCCGCGGCGTGTTTGTGTCACCTTCAGAGGAGCCTTATCAGAAGCTGGCGATGGAGACGCTGGAGGAGCTGGACTGGTGTCTGGATCAGCTGGAGACGCTGCAGACGAGGAACTCAGTCAGCGAGATGGCCTCCAATAAGGTGAGAGGACGCACAACTCCGCTCAGAGGGACACTCAACCTCTGTCCAAACATTTTTTTTTTTTTTACATCACAGAGCAACAATTTTCATTTTCCAACTAACAGACAAAAATCTACAGAGAAAAATAAAAACCTATGTACTACTTTCTGTAGTCGTATAAATAGGATCTTTATTTTTTTTACAATACATTACGTTATTTTAGATCAGAAAATGTTCAATATTTAAGAAAAAATAGTCTAAAGTGGAAGGAAGAAGGGTCTGTCAGGGTTCGTGAGTGGCACCTCCCTCCACTGAAAGAGTTAATTAGCATCACTTCTTTCTGCCTCTCCTCCCTGTGTGGGTCCTCCATCCCAGAATCAGCCAATCAGACGTCTCTCATCTGCCCAGCCCCTAAAGTCACACCGACGTGATTGGACGGGAAGAGACGACAGCATGTAGGGCAGGGAGGAGGGAGTTCCTCGCAGCCTCTCCCTCTTTCTCATTGACAGTGTGTAACAGTAGCCGGATCATCTGCAGTCACACACTAGCTCTTATCCAGCCCCCCCGCACCACGTTCCTGTAGCAGCACCCCCCACCACTTCATCTCCAGAAGCACTTGGGACTCTGGGAACTTTCGCTTCCATCCAGATTTCGTCTCTCGTTCAGTCTGCGCTGCAGATCGCTGAGCGGGCACACTGGGATTTTTAGCTGCTTCTAGCTCCAGCATGCGGAGGCTGACATGTTTCTGTTGGCGTACTGGTTTTGTCTGTGCTGGAGACTCAGACAGGTGAGTGATGAGTGGGGATCCATTGATCCCGAGTGCAGGGGTCAGACTGGGTTGACAAACGTGGAAATGTGTGTGTGTGAGACCAGCGAGCGTGCGTGTAAAGTTTTCATTCGTCCGAGCTGTGTTCTGTGTGTCGACTGAGGAAAGTGCTGATAATGAGCAGAGATCCATCTTTGTTGTAACTTCAGGACAATATGTGTCACACAGTCCTCCTGTCTTCAGTCACCATGTGCTCAAGGTGTTACATCATCAACGCTGCACTTAAGTTCATGGAAAAACACTGAACTTTATTGTTACTGTGTTACCAGCATGTTAATAGATCAAACAGCTTTTCTTCTCGTTAGTTAAAAGCAGAACTGTTTGTGAAATATCGTGCGGTGTCTGAGTTTGGTTTGGTGGAGTTTTCATCACTTTTGTGTTCTTGTTTTTTGTTGTTCTGTTTTTTCCGTCTGACTTGGATTGGAGTCTTCGGCTCGATGCTTCGCGGGTCCTCAGTTCAAGTTCTTGCAAAGATCATTTTGGTTCTGCTTTACTTTCACCTTTATCCTCCAATAATGTGTTTTTATTTCTTGATTATTGTGCAGAACCATTTTCTTTGTACCTTGTAGAGTTTTAACTTCCTGGTAGAGTTCAGCTCACACCTGGATACTATCACCAATCGTCACACCTGCCCTCATTAATCTGGTCCTCTGTATATTTAGTACACAAGTTAGTGTCTTGTGGTCTGTCAGAATTGAATTTTTGCCTTTTGGACTCTCAGTGCATGTTGTTTGACTTCATCTCAATAAAACGTCAAATATTCAGTACGGAAGGATTATCTGCAAGATGGACATATCATTTTAAAATTACCACAGTGCAGGTTCATTATCTAGTTTGAGTTTTAAATGTCGTTTTATTCTGGATATTAACAGCTAAACATCTCAGAGCTTCTTCCTCAAACTTTTATTTTCCCAATGATGAACTGAGGATGGACTGCAGGCAGGCTTTAATTTTCAATGCTAACTTTATAGTTTAGTATTAATGCTGCTTTAAAACTTAATTGTTTTTTACCAGAACTTTTGGAAAAAAATCAAACATTAAACAAAACTAGAATTCTCTAGTTTCTCTTTTTATTTATATTATATCAATTAAAGCTGACAAATAACATATATGTGTTTGTTTACACAAACATGCTCCACACAGAAACACCAACAGCCAGGAGTCAAACCTGCAACCTTCATGCTGCAAGGCAGTAAGAGCAAACATTTTTAAAGTTGGGCCAGAACTAGATGAAAGGTTTCGCGGGCCAGAAAAATCAAAATTTAAGAAGAAGAAAAAATTTAAGCACAATTTTTTTTCTCCTCATTTTTAACAACTTGAATAATTTGGAGAAAAGTTAAAAGTTTAGTTTAAATTCTCATATCCAGAACATTAGGAGTCTCATAAACATTAACTTTTTTTTTTTTTTAGAATTGAATTTATTAGATTTTTGGGTCTAATATTTGTTTTCTTGTGTTCATTTTCGTTAATTTTCAGAGATAAAATTCTAAAACAAGTTCTTTAAAAAAAGGGGGTTGGAACATCAATCCCCTCTTTGGACCACGGACGGCTCAAATGGGTCATCGAAGTTCTGATAAACAGCTGGCAGTCGCTAAAACAAATTCGTAGAAGGTTTGAAGGAACACCGATAAAGTCGATCAACTTGTATGTCGATGATACTTTAAATTATTTTTAAAATGTCCAATTTCTCCCCATCGATTATTAAATCAACTGATATCATTTTCTTTGAAAACACTTCTTATATTTTGCCAAGTTTTATGAATTATTATCCAAATTTCTACTTTTTGGTAGGTTTGTTGTAGGATAAAGAGATGAATTATAGCTAAATGTTTGTTTTTTACTTAATGTCGCTCATTTTGAAAAGATTATTTTCATCTGTTTTGTTGTTAAACCTAAAAATTATATTTAAAAAGTATCACCATTAAATCTAAAGAAGGTCTACATCTGCAAAAACCTCTTAAGCCTGTGGGTCAAAATTATACCATTCTTTAATTGCAGTCGTGGGCCGCACAAAATCACTCCAAGGGCCGCAAATGGCCCTCAGGCCACACTTTGGACGCCCCTGCAGTCGAGCCTCCACCCTTCAGTCACAACAGAACCCTGAAGTTATTCAAGCTGAAATAATTTACATTTATTAACCAGCATGCAAACAGAAATGGAAGTCTTTTTTAATGTGAAACCTGATTGTTGTTTGTTTGTTTACTAAATTTTACATTTCTACTTGCATCACTTCTACTGTAAGTTTAAGCTTGTTTACATCTGCCTGATATTTAAATACATTTGTTTTAATTTGTGTGTATGATTTTATTGTAACTTCTGAAGTGAATGCTATAAAATAATTTAGTATTTTTCTTCTCACTGTACTCGAAGGCATGACCCACTGGGTTGTTATAAACACTTTATTCACGTGCACAAGTGCAGTCCGCTCAGACGAGGACCAGAGTTCATGTTTTTTGTTGCTTCTTGTGTCAACGCAGTTTAAGAGGATGCTGAACCGCGAGCTGACGCAGCTGTCGGAGACGAGCCGCTCAGGGAACCAGGTGTCGGAGTTCATCGCCAACACCTTCCTTGGTGAGTTCAACACCTACTGAAAAGAGACGAGCTAAAATATGATGAAAACCTTAAACAAGTGTCTTAAAAGATATGTAGTCAAAAACCTTAATGTCTGGGGTTTTTAGGTTGAATTGACCAGTTAGTCAAGTATTTATGCACGCGCTGTCAAAGGCAAAATAAAACCATGTTTTTGGGTTGTGTTAGCAAAAAATCTCGTGAACAAATAGATGGATTTTAATTAAACGCGAGGTTTACAACTGATTTACTTTTAGAGTTAACCCCAACACAAACTCCGAGCTCGAACACGTCTCACAGAGAATGAGTTTGTACGAGCGTAACTCCGGTCCTTCTCGTTAAAGGTGACGATAGATTAAAACTCAGGGTCATGTGACAACAAAGTCCATGCTCAATAATCCAGGTATAAAATCCAACATTTTTCAGTCAGGTCATCTGGACGGTTTCTTTTTTTTTTTGTGCTGAAACTTTTCGCCTTCGATCCGGAAGGCTTCATCAGTCAAGGAAACACACAACAAAACTAATTCTTCCTCTAACAACTTACTCCAAAGTGGAACAAACCAGTTCTGCTTGTGATAAGATGGTCTCTCTGGTACGCCCCTCCTCCATTGCCGGCCCTCTTCCTTGTTGACAGTCTTGTCAAACTGGTTGAAAACAACCAGGGTCATGTGCTTTGATTTAAGGGACGCTACACATTTATTTAAGGTTGCATTGAGCTCCTTATCAAATATATTTATAACCTGCAGTTGTGCTGAAAGAAAAGACGTGCTTTGAATACAAAACGTTGCCTCGGTTTTAAAATTCTTGCAAAAACAAATGAATCTGAAGACATTCCAGTTTGTAGCACATCAGTGATGCAGCTCGTCTCTACAACGGGCTGATTAGCATAACTGCATTACCTGCTTTCTGTTCACATTGATTGATCAGCGCCGACTGCCTCTCAACGTACAGCTCAAAACTCCACCATATACGACCGGGGTGGAATAGGAAGATTTGACAAATTTTTAAAAGTATAATTGATAATCAAAGAAAAGGGGAGGGGGGAAAAAAGCATGGCTGCTAAGGATAAAAACATTATTATTGAAAAAAAGAGGAAAATAAAAATGGCATGATTCTGAGGTAGAGGAAATATATCACAGATGAAGAAGGTGAGGATTTCTCCTGCTCTGAACTAGAAGGGGGAGCGGCAACAGACAGCATTCCCGGACACATTGTGTGGCGTTGTCGTGGCAACAGGGTTCAATATTATTTGACGGCGTGCTGCATCAATAGGAGGCTCAGTCTTCAGCAGCCCCTCTGGCAGGATGGTCCAGCTGAGCGAGGATGGAGCCGCCAGCGAGCTGTCGTTCTGAGATGAGCGCCTCCAGCCCGGCAGCATTTGGAAATGAGCTCCATGGCTCTGGGTGTGAGGAAGAGGAGGCACTGTGAGCGAGGTGAGCGGAGCCAGACGCTGCCTCCTGCGAAGCTGCCGCTCAGGCCGTCGTGCGTCTTTACGGCGGCGTGTGCTTGTGTCGCGGCGCAGGTCTGGATGTTGATCAGGCATAGCTGCTGCCTGACTAATAAAAAAAAAAAGGCTAATCTGGGCTGGAAGATGCAAAGGATGATGTGTGGACATGAGGGAAAACTGCCTCTTTGATGAAGTAGGATTATTATTTCTCTGCTTTTTACAAGATAAAAATGGATGAGTCATTTAAATACAACCGTGTCTGCCGGGACAGCACCTTCGTGTCACCAGATCGTACAGAAATCACGTTTGTTTTATGATGGAAACCCTGCATTGATGTTATTTTTAGTTTTTCAGTAGCATTTGTTAATTGAATGATTTCTTGATCATTTTCAGGGAGGAATGAATTCCAGCCATCGGTTTAAAAATAAAATAACTAACCTGTTTGCATTTTGAACAATGTTAGAAGTGTTTCTGCTGCTGGTATTCTGCGCCTGCTGCCGTAAAAATATGTTCAAGCGTAAAAATAATACTTCCTAAATTTGAATTCCTTCACATGACTAGCTTTGTGTACATGATGCACATTTACCTTTTATGATTAGTCTTTTTAATTGTTCACAAGGTCATTTATCTTAACCTTAAAACGGACGTCCCACCTTGATTAGAAACTTGCGAAAAAAAATGCAAATCTGTATGTGAGGCGTTCATTTCCTTGGTCATATAAAAGTACGGTGTTGTTTGTTCACCTGTCAACATCCAGATGAAGGGAAGAGTTTTAGCCATTTTGGTCAAACCTTATAATTGATCTTAGCTCAAGATATGCACTCAGAAGATGCGTTGAGGATGACTCTCTGCTGCTGCCACAACAAATGACTGTATACCCAAATATCTGTAAAAGTAGCTGAGTTAGAGACATTTATAGGTTTTCTCAGGTGAGTTGGCTGTGATGGATTTTATATAAAAGTACACTGCTTGGTCAAAAAAAAAAAAGTTGCCACCAAAAAAAAAAAGGTCACTAATATTTCGTTGGACCGCCTTTAGCTTTAATTACAGCATGCATTCGCTGTGGTATTGTCTCGATAAGCTTCTGCAATGTCACAAAATCTATTTCCATCCAGTGTTGCATTAATTTTTCACCAATATCTTGCATTGATGACTCGGCACTAGGCATGATGGGTGCATCACTTCACCTGCCTCTCTTCTTACCCTGATGCGCCCATCACTCTGGAAAGGGGTCAATCTGGACTCAGACCACATGACCTTCTTCCATTGCTCCAGAGTCCAATCTTTATGCTCCCTAGCAAATTAAAACCATTGTTACAGTTAACCTCACTGATTATTAGTGGTTTTCTTAAGGCTACACAGCTGTTCAGTCCTAGTTCCTTGAGTTCCCTTCATATTGTGTGTGTGGAAATGTTCTTACTTTCACTATTAAACACAGCCCTGAGTGCTACAGTTGTTTTTCTTCTATTTGATTTCACCAAACGTTTAAGTGATCACCGATCACGATCATTCAGGATTTTTTTCCGGACGCATTTCTTCCTGGAAGACAACGGGTCCCCACTATCCTTCCAGTTTTTATTAATGCGTTGGACAGTTCTTAACTGCAATCTCCTTAGATGTTTTCTCTGCTTGATGCCAATGATTTGATGCTTCTTCTCAAACAGACTGACATCTTGTCCACGACCACGCCATGTCTCTTTCAACATGGTTGTTTAAGAAATGAGAAGCAACTCATTGCACCAGTTGGGTTAAATAACTTGTTGTCAGCTGAACGATAATCCCCATGCAGTAATTAGCCAATAGGAGGCTCGTACCCATTTGTTTAGTTAAATCCAGGTGGCAACCTTTTTTTGGCCAGTCAGTGTATTTCTTTCTGCACAATAGTTTTCCAAGTTTAATTGCAATTCATCCAATGGTACATGAGGTTTTTTGATAACACACACACGATTAAAAAAAAAACACATTAATGATCTAAAACATTTATGATTTTCTTTTTGTAATCCAGAGTGTTTTCATTTATCTCATTTTTGTATTTTTCAGATTTTAAGGTGCACTTAAAATCCTTAATTTTTTTTCTCAAAAAAATCAACAGTGAGTCTTATAATCTGCTGCTCCTTATGTATTTATTCTGGTTGTGCTTACTGACATCAAACCAATTTTATGTGATACACCGCGCTCAAAATCTGTCATAATGTTTTAGTTCCGCTTAATGCGCCTTATAATCCCAAAAATACGGTAATTTGGTAAAACAGCAGCAGTGACGAGGAGCAGTCCAGTTTTCATGGCTCATTCGTCGTGTTTGTGTTTCAGAGAAGCAACATGATGTGGAGATCCTGTCTCCGCCTTCTAAGGAGAAGGAGAAGAAGAAGCGGCCGATGTCACAGATCAGCGGTGTGAAAAAGGCCACGCAAAGTCCGAGCTTAGCGCCCACCTGCATCCCTCGCTTTGGAGTTAACACGCCTCACGAGAGCCTGCTGGCAAAGGTGGGATCGCCGACGTGCCAACGAAAAGACGAATGAAGTCTACAGTCTCTTACATGTCCAGGTTTGTCTTATCTCACAGGAAATTGAGGACATCAATCGTTGGGGTATGGACATTTTCAAGTTAGCAGAATATTCAGGAAACCGCCCTCTGACGGTGATCATGTACTCCATCTTCCAGGTAAAGAATCTATCATTCCAAAGTAGCCATGCTTTTGTAGTCCAGCGTTATTCTGTCATTGTTTTAGTTTTGTTTATTTATTTTCCTCCTCTTATCAGGAGCGAGATCTTCTGAAAACATTCAAGGTGCCAATCAACACCTTCATTACCTTCATGATGACATTAGAGGACCACTACCATGCAGATGTAGCCTACCACAACAACATCCATGCAGCTGACGTGGTGCAGTCCACCCATGTCCTCCTGTCCACGCCTGCGTTAGAAGTGAGCTCAGCAGTTACTTTGCAAATCCCATTTAACAATAATCCCGCTCTTAATTTTACTCCCAGCTGTTTCCAGTTAAACTCCAGGTTCCAGGTATTTATCTTAAACAACTTATTGTCTTTGTTCATCCAAGGCGGTGTTCACAGACCTGGAGATCATGGCTGCTCTGTTCGCCAGCGCCATTCACGACGTCGACCACCCAGGAGTCACTAACCAGTTCCTCATCAACACCAGTAGGTTCCTCTTTGATGCTGCGCTCAGATGCCACAACAAAACCAGTACGAACAAGAGTTTCAGATTAGAAATCAAGAGTTCTGCAGATTATTTAGAAATCTTTGTTGAGTGTAAATTACGTGTCTAAAACCATTAATAGTGTAAATGCTTCTGCAGCATTCACACTATTGTGATCCATTTTTCTTTTGTACGTTTTTCAGCATCTTTCTTGTTCCACAACTTTTGTGCTATTTCAACGAATCATAAATCAAAACATTCAGCTCGTTTAGGAAAAGGGTGCTATGACATTTGGTGCAACTTCAGCCTTTTGAAATATTTAGCCTTTTCTGCCATTTTTTTTTTCTCATAGAAAATTGATTGAGTTCATTTTACGTCCTTCATATATTTAGATCTGTTTACAACCTTATACTGCTCCTTTCACATTTTGTTCTGGTTTGGCTTCTTTTATCTTCCTTGTGCAAATTTGTACATTTTTTCAGCTACTTTCAGTTGTTTCTTCAGCTGTTTGGTGCTCCTTTCAGATTCTTTCTGCTAACTACAACATGTTTGTGCTTCTTCAAACTCTTCTCTTCTAATTTCAGCTTGTTATGCTCCTTTCAGCTTATTTTTGCAAGTTTCAGCTTTTTATGATACTATTTAGCTGTTTTGATGCTTTAGCTTTTACAGCTAATTCCATATTTTATGCAATAATTTCAACTTTTTTTCAGTCTAATTCAGCAAAAATGTGCTCTCCATTTCCTTCTGGTAATTTAAACTTATTTCAGAACATTTTAGCTACTTTTCAGCTGATTTTTGCTAATTTCAGCTTTTTTCAGTTAGTATCCACTTTTTAGTGCTCATTTTGGCTTCTGTCTGTCCGTTTGACTAAACGTGTTCTTTCGACTTTCTTCTGCTAATTTAAGCCTGTTCTACCTTTTCAGCTTCTTTTTTTTTTTAAAGCATTTTTCATCTAATTTCTGTTGTTTTCAGATAAATTCAAGTTATTTTTTGGTAATTTCTGCTACTTTCAGCCTAATTAACTTCTTTCTGATACTTTCATCTCCTTTCAGCTTTTTCTGCTATTTCAGCTACTTTTTTGCTGTTTTGTTTTGTGCTAAATTTAGCTTTTTCAGCTAATTCCACATTTTTTAGCTAATTTCAGCTCCTTCCACTTTCTCTTGGTAATTTAAGCTTCTTTCTGCCTTTTCTTTTGCTAACTTAGGGTTGTTCTTCAATTTCAGCTACATTTCAGAATGTTTTTAACTAATTTCAGTTGTTTTTCAGCAAGTTCTTCAGTAATATGCATTCACACTGCATTTTCGCTGGAAATGCAATTTCTCTACTTACCATTTACAATCTATACAGTCCAAAGACTTTTACTTTTTCGAAAGCGTAATTCAGTCAAGAAATTAGTAAAAAATATATAAAATGACTTTTTCACTCCGTTTTTCACCCTGAAACTGTTCTGTTCTTGTTAAAGCTAATTTATTCTAGTTGATTCCTTTTTTAAATTGTGTTGGTTGAACTATTCAGATCCTTTAATATATAGCGTAACATTATTGATGTGACACTGACTTAGTGTCTGACTCTTCCTCTTGTTGTTTTGGATTAATTCAAAAGTGAGTTACTGTGATTATTGTTTTTAATCCCTGATCTATATGGAAATCTGTGTCCTGCTTCTCGCTTTGATCATCCGGACTTCTCCTCTTGCAGGTTCTGAGTTGGCACTAATGTACAACGATTCCTCAGTTCTGGAGAACCATCACCTCGCTGTGGGCTTCAAACTACTGCAGGAGGAAAACTGTGACATCTTCCAAAACCTCAGCAAGAAGCAGAAAGACTCCCTCCGCAAGATGGTGATTGACATGGTCAGTGCCGGACGGATTTTTTTAAGAACTGATGTGATGTGGACACCCAGATAATAAACCATTGCAATAGTGTAGTCTAGATGTAACAAATGCATGAACCAGTTTTTCTGCTTCATTTTTAGATGAGATGTTTCTAATTTTAGCAATATTACGCAGGTGGAAGAAGGCGGTCCTAGTAACGTTTTTAATTTGGGGCATAAAAAGACATGTCCTGATCAAAAATAACACAAAGTTTTTTTAACATTAGCGCTGGAGGCCAGATTAATGCCATCTAAGGAGGGTGAAAGACTGAAAAATGTATTCCTAAAATGCTCAGGTCCAAACACTAAAACCTCTGTCTGTGTTCAAAAGCAAAAAAATTAGGGTCATCCAGTTTTTATGTCTTTAAGACATGCTTGCAGTCTGAGTAGCTGATTGGATTCATTGGGTTTCATGGACAAATATAACTGTGTGTCATCAGCATAACAATGAAAATGTATCCCATGCTGTTTAATAACTTTACCTAATGGAAGCATATATAAGGTAAAGAGTATTTGTCCAAGCACTGAGCCCTGAGGAACTCCATGACTAACTTTGGTGTATGAGGAAGATTTATTATTTATATTTACAAACTGGAATCTATCAGATAGATATGATTTAAACCAGTTTAGAGCTCCTGTAATCCCAATGTCATATTCAAGCCTCTGTAGTAGAATATTATGATAATCTGTATCAAATGCAGCACTGAGGTCTAACGGGACCAGTGTAGACACAAGTCCATTGTCTGAGGCCATGAAAATATCATTACACAATATATAATCCAAATACAATATAATTCCTTGCACGCAGGTTCTTTAAATCAGTCACTTTATGAGGTCAAATTTAAAAAAGGCTTTTTATTTCCCAGAAATCATTGTGGCCTATACCAAAAGATCATTATTGTCTCTAGAAAGATATTCCACATTAAAAAACAAACACGTTTCAGTTTAAAGTGCGTCTCCCATCCTGGCATCCCTTCATTGGCTCCCTGTGCACTACAGAATTAATTTTAAGCTTTTGCTGTTTGTTTTTAAATGTCTGAACAACCTTGCCCCACCATATCTGTCTGAGCTGCTTCAGCCTTACTGTCCACCCCGATCCCTACGATCAGCTGATCAGCTGCTGCTGACAGTCCCTAAAACTAGGCTGAAGCTCATAGGTGACAGAGCGTTTGCTGTTGTTGCTCCCAGGTTGTGGAACGCTTTACCCTTGAGTGTCAGACAGGCCTCCTCTCTTCCTGTTTTTAAATCTCTTTTAAAGACACACTTTTATTCTTTGGCTTTTAACACGTGATCTTATCTTTTATGGCTTTTTAATACACCTGCTGTGAAACTGGTATGTGAATGGTTTTTATGTTTCTTTGTGTGTGCTTTGTATGTTTTTATTGTTTTGTTTGTTTTTTATTGTTTTATTGTGCAGCACTTTGGCTACCCTTGTGGTTTTTAAAATGTGCTATATAAATAAAGTTGATTGATTGATTGATTGATTGATTGATTGATTGATTGATTGATTGATTGATTGATTGAAGGTGACATGTTGTTGCTGTAATCCTCTGCAGGTGCTGGCCACAGATATGTCCAAACACATGAACTTCTTGGCAGACATGAAGACGATGGTGGAGACCAAGAAAGTGACGAGTTTAGGGGTTCTGCTGCTCGACAATTACTCTGACCGCATCCAGGTTAGAGACGCCCCAAACACTTTGACCCTAAAAATAAAAATACACAGAGAGTGAAGGGGGTTATCTCATCTTTCTTTCAGGTTCTACAGAACATGGTCCACTGTGCTGACTTAAGTAACCCGACGAAACCGCTGGAGCTTTACCGAAAATGGACGGACCGCATCATGGTGGAGTTCTTCACGCAGGGAGACCGAGAGCGGGACAAAGGCATGGAGATCAGTCCGATGTGCGACAAACACAACGCCTCCATAGAGAAGACCCAGGTAACGTACACCTTTACAGCTTTACTAAACAGATTGTCCAAAGTTACTTTCCTTAACAGTAAAACTGAATAAACCCAAGTTTTGTTGTTTGTTTGTTTGTTTTGTAAAATTGTTGGTTACCTCTTAAAACAAAGCGTACAAAACAAATGTAGGAAATATTTTCCACCTTCATCTTTTAAGAACTGAGCGATAAATACAGCACAAATATAAAAACTGTATTTCTTCAATCGACAGCCTGTTTTTAAATTTAACATTTCAATATTTTCTTTCTCCATGACTAGGTGGGGTTCATTGACTACATAGTGCACCCTCTGTGGGAGACCTGGGCCGACCTCGTGCACCCTGATGCGCAGGACATCCTGGACACGCTGGAGGACAACAGGGAGTGGTACCAGAGCATGATCCCCCGCAGCCCCTCGCCCACGAGCCCGGATGAGCACCACGCTGAGGTGGAGCCTACGGATGGAGCTGTGGGATCAGGGGGTGGAGGAGACAAGTTCCAGTTTGAACTCACCCTGGAAGAGGAGGAGGAGGACGATGAGGAGGTGGAGTCTGACCTGGAGAGCCCCTTAGAAGAGGAGTCCCAGGCAGGCGGAGACAGGCATCAGGACTCCTCCTCCCCCTCTCTGTCTCCTGACCCTCACTTGAACATCAACAGCAGCAGGTACCGCCCTCCTTCGCCTCACCCGTCTCGGTCGCTAAGTTTGGCGTCCATGTCGGTGCGGAGCCCCCACCCCCACAGGACGCTGGGCTCAGGGGGGCAGGAGGGCGTGGACAGAGACCGAGAGCTGAGCCAGGACGGCGACGGCGTGGCCTGCCTGAGGATGGGCACGTAGTAACCGGCAGGAAGTGTCCTGTCTGAGAGACGAGCGCCCGGTGGAGGGCGGCGTAGGCAGGGCGAGCCTTGTCCAATAATGTCTGTAAAATCACCACAGTCCCTTTACACTGGAGACACCCACTCTGGAGAACAGAGGAACGACTCTCCTCTGTCTTCGTCTTTTTTCAACGACACAGTTTCAGCCTCTGTTTGAGTGCCTGGCGGGCCTTTCTGGTCGGTCCTGGTTGGTTGTAGCTTCAGTGCCGAGTTTTCCAGACAAAGAAAAAACCAAACTGCTGCTGCATTCGACCTGGAATAAAGCGTGGAGTCGAGGCCTGCGCTCAAACTAAAGGTAACAAAACTAAAGGAAACGTCTTCCTCCAAACTAACTGTGACATCTGAGCGTGAGCAGCGAATGAGGATCGCAGTGGTGCGACAGGGTCTTGGGAATTATTTTTGCACCGTAGTTTTATTTTGGGATGTGAGATAGCTGAGTTGGGAAAAACGTGAGTATGATTTCCTTAAGAATGATGTGTGAAGTGAATCATTTAACCAAATACAGAATGTAGACGAGCAGCGATTTAAAAAAAATAAAAAAATAAAAAAAAAAATCTGATGGACCTAAACCTCAGGGTATGAAGAGAAGCATAAACCTAATGTAGCACAGACTTACTGAAAAACCCCGAAACGGTCTTTCCTGTTCGACTACAGACCACAAACTCTTTGTTGAACACGTGCGTTTATTTAAATCCCTTTAACAGAGAATTTGGCTGCAGAGGCAATCAAAGGAACCAGCTTGTAGCAGCACAAGAGCTGAACACTTTAGACTGAACCCCAGTCTCACCTGTTAAACCCAAACGGACACCGCCTGTATGACTAGTTTTATTTCATCTTCTATTTAAAATGTTTTTATTCCCATACTGTTCATTGTATGTTTGCTGGTTACGTGTAACAAAAATAAGTAAACCTGTTTATTTTTTTGTTTGTTTTAAATCAGGGTGCCTCCGGTCCGCAGTAGCACTTTACCGTCTTTACCGTTCAGCTCTTCTATTCAATCACATAAAGGGCTTCGCACACCGTAGGCCTACTGATCGCAAAAACTGTACAGGACGTTGGACTACAGGTGACCAGAAGGCAGGGCGGGACGTAGCCACCATCTGAGGTGGACCAGCATAGTTTAACCCTCTGAGAGATGGGTTATAAGTTTCTGTTGATGCATAAAGGCCATATTCAGGCTGATGATCCTGTCGTTAACGAAATAAAGCCGCCTAAATCTAGCAGCTTAAATTTAAAAGAATCTTGAATGTGTCCCTTGAGTTAATAACTAGAAGTAATAATTGCTTTGGAAATCTTTGGTTCGTAAACATATTTCATTAGATGTAAAAAAAAAAAAGCTTCTGTTTATTTGTATTTACTAAATGAAAATATGGGTTTGTTTCAAGTAGAAGAATTTCTCAAGGAAGTTTAAATTTTTACTTAAATGGTCTTACAGTAAGTATTTCAGCTGGTTAAACTAAGATTTAATTCCTAATTACTTTTTTTTTTTATAACTCTAATTATAGTGATTTTTTTTTTTTAAGTTAAAGATGGAAAATTTACTTTCTAAAATCATTTTCGATTTGACGGCGTTTACAAAAAAAAGTAGGAGTATTCGTAAAACGAAAACGGTTTAAAAAATATTTTTGATTTCTGCGTTTAATCTCATTTTACTTTATTTATTCTAGATCGGGGGTCTGCAACCTGCGGCTCTGGGGCCACATGTGGCTCTTTAGTCCCTCATCGGCGGCTCTTTGACCAAAACTTTATGAAATTAATTGTATTGATTTTTATACCCACAACAGAAAAGACTAGTTTTGGCAATTTTATTGTCAAATTTTTCTAAAATACCCAATAACTACTAGTAAGATAAGAACTTTACTGATCCCGCAGGAAATTGTTGAAGTACGTAGTAAGTTTCTTTCGGCTGCTCCCTTCTTCAGGAGTCACCACTTGCAAGAATGATTTGGCAATTTATTTTATGTCAGATGCCCTTGCTGACGCAAACTGGGCTCGCACCCGCAACCTTTGGATTACATGCCTTCAGCCCCACCCAATACTTATTATTCCGCAGAGTTCAGCGTTTAAATTTTTATCAGAATCGGTATAAACTAATTATTTTCCTTCTTTACATGATATGGTCTTTTTTGTCTTAAGATGTAAAAAATATCAATCAATGTTAAAATTCATGATGTAATTTTAGTTTTATAATGTCACCCCCACTGGCCAGAAAAGCCGCCCTCCAACAAACTCAGTGGCCCATGGGCCATCAGTTGATAATCACAGTTGTAGCAGGTTTTGCGGCTCCAGACGTTTTATTTAGTGACCGAAGGGAAAGAAATAACTCTTTTGATCAAAAAGGTTGCAGACTTCTGTTCTAGATGATGCAAGTTAGTGCTTTACCCAAGATTTCATTTGAAAAAGTGAAAGCAACTTTTCCGCTCACATTTTGTCCTAATTAATGCGCATGAATCCCGGTTTGTTTCAATAACACTGGTCAAGAGTTAAATGTTGCAGATCATATGTGGAATGGCGTTTGTTTTATTTCCCTAACGACTGCTGTCCTCTATGATAAAAAGAGATAAAAATATAAATCAGAGCTGCCTTCCCGGCTCGTTTCACTCTCCTTGCACAGCGAAAGCAGGCTGATCTCTCCTGATCCAATCCTCGTGCACCTCCTCGCCCTGCCGGCAGGTCCTGCAGTAAATCTGAGTTAAAACAGGTTTCGACTAAACTGCGCTTCCTGTAACTCAAATAAAACCGAGCGCGTCCCATCAGGTTATGGGCCACGTTGGGTAGAAAGGACTCAACAAGGACTAAAGTGTTGGAAACACACACAGACACACACCTGCCAGCCTACGAAGCTGTACATTTTTACACTAGAGATTTTAAACTGATGATTGTATCGACGTCATTAACTTTGTAGTGTTAGTTTTTACAAATGGCACATGTTATTACCAGTATTTAAAGCAGACATCCGAGTAGGTTTAGTGGAGCTTAGAAGCAGTTTGTTGAGCCCTTTGATAGCCGAGACCTAAAAATGTGTAGTTTCATGTTCTTGCTGTAAGAAGTTCACATCGAGTCCAGAGCAGTGTTTGTCACAGAGGTAGAATAATCTGGAGGGAATCCAGCACTACACAAGATACGATTTACCTCCTGGTTGTAGAAAACACTAGTCGAACAGTATTTTATTGTTTTAAGGTAGTAAACTTTGTTGGTGAGCCTTAGTTGTAGGAGCGGGTTAAGCCTTTGTTAAAGGAACATTGTGCTGCTTTTAGACGCTGATCCTCAGACTGTTTTTTTCATCCTGCATCCATTTTTACCAAGTTTCTCTTGAGAGAAGTGACTGAAGAGGTTTTCTAAACTTCAGCCATATTAAATCGCAGGGACTTCGCACAGAATTTTGTCTTTTTATTTTGAACTCCTGAGTTGATCCAAACATGTTTTAATATAATTTTCACTAGGGATGCACGGTATTGGATTTTTGGCCAATATCCGATATGTTGAAACTTATTTAGCCGATACCAATATTATTATTTTTCTAGACCTATTACAGACTACATAGCTTTCTCAGCTGTGGAATTAAAATACTACATTATTTTGCAAGATCTTTGTCAATTTGGCCAGCTACCAAATACAGATGCCAAAAAAAGAGACTGAAAATGATGTAACACTTCAACTTGGATTATGTTTAATGTCCAATTTTTTCATGACATTTACCCTCTAACACAATGAGAACGCTCAAACAGTGCAAATTTGTGGATTTTTACAAATCTAAACGCAATGGTGTCATAACTTTATGTATACTGTATATACACAGCGCCTTTTATATTGTTGAGTTATTTTGATGGAATGGCCGATGTCCGATATTTAACTTTATCGCTAATATTGGCCGATACCATGCCGATAATATCCTGCATCCCTAATTTTCAGCATCAAATGTTTAACCCTTTGTTTTAGCTAGGATTTGAACCAGAGACCTTAACATGATGCAAATGTCACATTTAGTTTAGCTTTCCTTCAACAGGTTTTACCAGCTCTAAAAGGCCAGAAACAAGAGATAATTGAAGTGTTGTTGGCCAAAAAGGAAAGTAATTTGTTCTCTATAGGATATTCCGTCCAGTTGATTTGGATTCTAAAATGTTTTTCTCTTAACAAAAAGAAAAAGTAAAAAAGGAGCCTTCAAATGTTTCAAATTAAACATTGATTTTTAGCTTCTTCTTTTTTTTTTAATCCTTTGCATGTGAAAGCTAAAAATGTTATCTTTAATATAGATCTAATGTTTTGGTACAAGGTCGTATAACAGAAAAGATTTGCAAATATGACATTTTCACCGTGTGGGATTCTTTAAAGCTTTCAGTTTTCATACCTTCATTTTTCTTCCAGGTGTGAGGAAAATAAAAATCAGCCTGATAATTTCAGCACCGTGGCTCAGCGGCGCCACTCAGTGTTAAATGTGTTTATAGGCAGGAGTGTTCCTGCTTCTGTTCAAACTGCCTTCATTCACGTCGTCTCGAGTTTCTCCAGCCTCTGTGTCGTGCAAATGTCTAATATTTATTCTTTAAAATGTGTCGAGAAAATGTACTGTAACAGAATATTTGATTTTATGTCCTGGAGCCTAAAACAACAAGTATATTTTACAGTTCTGTACAAGTCTGCCACTCCAATGTTTGTCAAAGAAAATTATTTTTGTTTTTGCATTCGAAGCCAAAAGAACCTCGGGAGTTCAGGGTGTTTTCTGTTGAAAAATGCCAATAAATTATATGAAAATTTATTCCTGCTTGTGTTTCCAATTTCTTTTTTCTCCATTTGAAAAGGAAATTGTGCCAAACTTCTAAAATAAAGAGCCTCTTGACGTAAACACTCTTCAATACAGCCACATTCAGCATTACTGCTACATTTACCATATTTTCTGGCGTATAAGTCGCTCCAGAGTATAAGTCACGTTTATTATGTCACCGCTGACCCGTCACGTTTATGATGCGTTTATTTAATTGTCACAACAGCTTCATTTTGCCTGGACGGCGCCATCAATCCATCACGGCCGGAGTCGCTAGCTCTCCAGCGTTCCTCCGCCTGCACCAGCTGAGTGAAGCGAGCGCGCACAGGACTCGCCGTTGCAGTTCTTCGAAAATTAAAGCGCAAGTCAAAAATTGCGTTATGAATATGGAAAAAAAAAATGTATATAAGTTGCTTCAGCATATAAATCGCAGGACTGACAAATCTATGCAAAAAAACAAACTGCGACTTGTACACCAGAAAATACGGTACTTCTGTTCCTGTAGGATAAATCCACTCCACCCTCACCCATCGCTTAACTGACATCAAAATCTGGCTGAAGCACAATTTTCTCAAATTAAATACTGACGTACTCGTAATTGGTCCAAACAGTGTTACCAAGTCCACTCAGAACTTCTGCCTCAACTTTGACCACATCACTCTCACTCCATCCCCACTCATTCGTATTCCTGGTATTCCTCTCGACTCCACTCTTTCATTCGAATCACACGTCCAAAGGAAAACTCGGACTGGATTCACACATTCAAAGCTCTCCATAATCTGGCCCCTCCATACCTGACCGACCTACTCCATCACTACACTCCTTCTCGTTCCCTCCGCTCCTCCGATGCCAACCTTCTGTCTCTCCTGAGTAGGACCGAGCTCCGAACCTGCGACAGATCCTTCTCCATCGCTGCCCCAACAGCTTCGTGCCTGCTCCAATTTCTCCACTTTCAAGACAGAACTCAAAACCCACCTGTTTAAAATTGCTTTTAATGTTTTAATTTGTTTTTTAAATGTTTAATTGTGATTTTATGTGTTATGCATTGTTGATTATATTTATTTATTTAACTCATGTAAAGCATCTTTGAGTATTTAGAAAAGTGCTAAACAAATAAAAATTCTTATTGTTACTATTATTAGTGTTATTATTATTAGTGTAGTAGTAGTAGTAGTAGTATAATAGTAATAATAATAATAGTAATAGTAATAATAATAGTAATAGTAACAGTAATATTAATAATAATAGTAATAGTAACAATACTAGTAATAATAATAATTAAAATTGTAATAGTAATAATAATAATAATAATAGTAATAATCATAGTAATAGTAATAATAACAGTAATAGCAATAGTAACAGTAATAACAATAGTAATACTATTATTATTACTGTTACTATTATTATTACTAATAGTAATAATAATAGTAATAGTAATAATAATAATGATAGTGATAGTAATAATAATAATAGTAATAGTAATAATAATAGTAATAATAATAATAATAGTAATAGTAACAGTAATAGTAATAGTAACAGTAATATTAATAATAATAGTAATAGTAATATAATAGTAATAATAATAATTATAATAATTGTAATAGTAATAATAATAGTAATAGTAATAGCAACAGTAATATTAATAATAATAGTAATAGTAACAATACTAGTAATAATAATTATAATAATTGTAATAGTAATAATAATATTAATAATAATAATAATAGTAATAATCATAGTAATAGTAATAATAACAGTAATAGCAATAGTAACAGTAATAATAATAGTAATACTATTATTATTACTATTACTATTATTATTACTAATAGTAATAATAATAGTAATAGTAATAATAATAGTAATAGTAATAATAATAATGATAGTGATAGTAATAATAATAATAGTAATAGTAATAACAATAGTAATAATAATAATAATAGTAATAGTAACAGTAATAGTAATAGTAACAGTAATATTAATAATAATAGTAATAGTAATATAATAGTAATAATAATAATTATAATAATTGTAATAGTAATAATAATAATAATATAATAATCATAGTAATAGTAATAATAACAGTAATAGCAATAGTAACTATTACTATTACTAATAGTAATAATAATAATGATAGTGATAGTAATAATAATAATAATAAAAGTAAAAGTAATAATAATAGTAACAGTAATAGTAACAGTAATATTAATAACAGTTATAGTAATAATAATAATAATAGTAATAGTAATAATAATAACAATAGTAATAGTAATAGTAATAATAATAGTAATACTATTACTATTACTATTATTATTACTAATAGTAATAATAATAATAGTAACTGTAATGGTAATAATAATAGTAATAATAATAGCAATAATAATAATAATAATAATAATGATAATAGTAATAATAATAATAATAATAATAATAATGGTACTAATACTACTAATAATAATAGTAATAATAATACTAATAGTAATACTAATAGTAATAATAATAGTAATAGTAATAATAATAGTAATAATAATACAGACATGCTGTAGTGAATTTATTGTGTTCAGCAGAAGCTTCTGCTCAGTTTGACTGGAGCTCCGGTGCAGGCCGGAGGTTTCAGGCCCTGTGGAGAACAAGAAAATTCAGCACACAAAGCCATGACCCCAAATATAATGAGAAAAGTTGTGCAGATGTTTACAGCAGACCATTCTCACCCTGTAGAGCTCACAGACCAAAAGAAAGAGTGACGAGGTTGCCTTGTCTTCATTCTCTTCTGTGTATTCCTGCAACACAAAGATTCATGACCTTCAATCACATCCCATTAGGCACAGATTCATGTTTTTATCATTATTTGAAGGCATGAATGTTGCCTTTCATGCCTGAGTTTTACACCAATATGTAAAAAAAAATGACAAAGACTTCGTGCAAGGCGTCACATTGTGTTGTAAATGGCTTAACTACTCAAATGTTTGGTCAATATCTGTAAAATTGAGTTATTCCTATTTTTGTGATCATCTTGAATCAGCTGTAGAGCCAATGATTACTCTCAACAAGTTGAATTAAAACCGTCCAACAGTTCATGAAGTAACATCTATCATTCAACACGCGTTTAATTTACCCCGTTGAAAGTGAGCCAGGGGACGTGTGTGTGGCCAGGAGTCAGAGCTCTGGTTATGGCGGCGTAGCCGTGCATCAGCTGGTACCCCAGACGTCCGTTCACACAAGAGTCAACGCTGGACCAGGACACAGAGGGAGCGTACAGCTGGAGACACTTTGACATGGAGGAAGCAGTTATTGTAAATCATATAAAATTAAATAAAAAAGATGCATACCCACTGGCTGTGTAGCGCTGAGGACATCTGCAGAGGACTCCATGCAGTAGATGATCTGGAGTGCGAGCGCGTTCCCAGTTAAATGGATGACACAGGCCTGAGGAAGACTCTGATCAGCCTAACATCTCTGCATTCTTATAAAAACTAAAGATAAGGGTGACGTTTGCTTATAAACCTCAATCATGTTGGCTCTGCATTCAGGTGCTCCGTGCTGACAGGTGAAGGGAGAAGTTTCTGATGAAATTTCCTGCAAAGGGATGAAGATAAAGATGAGGAGGGTGCAGCTCATGATCAAAATGGTCCCTCTAAAGCAGCTAGAAGACAATGGAGGGGTGCAAAACGTACGTTAGCGTTCCCGTAGGGCACCAGGGTGATGGACATGATGTCCTGCAGCATCATCCAGGTGGGGAACAGCTGCTGGGTGATGAAATATCTGCTATCTGGACACAAACTCTCGTAGTACAAAGTGACAGACACCCGGGGAACCATCTGGTTTGGCCTGATGGCATTAAGCTCCATGCACTGCTTCTGGACCTAAATACAAAAAAGTAAATGATTTTTTTATATAAAGATTCATAAAAAATAATCTAAGATCCAAAACAAACGTCTAAAATCTGAGGATTTTCTGCTCAGACCACCTGACCCACATCTGCTCTGCTTGGTCACATGAAAACCCTCTGGTGCTCAATTTCTAAAGCATGACTTTCATTTAAGCACCAACCAGAACTAAAAACAAAAAAAAAAACGTTAAACTCTGCAGTGAGCAACGCTTATTGGAGCAACACAGAATAAGGTTGTTCTCTCGAATACTTAAAAAAACTGCTCAAAGAGTTAAAGGTTTCTCATGCAAAGATGAATTAAATCAGTTTTTAATTAAATTACAGCAGCGTCGTTTCATCACGTCGTCCAAGTCTTCTGCAAGCTGTAGGACTGAAAAATGACCATCTTTTCTGCAAAATATAAATTTGTACCGAGCCACAGAAATCAGCTCGAGACTTTAAATTAAGATAAAGCATTCATTTACTAAGTTTGATCAGGCTGTTAGATGTTTTTTTCTAATCACTCAAAAAAAGGTTTTCAAAAGGCCGAAATCTGTTTTTTAAGTCAGACCTGTATTTTCATTTGATTATAAAACAGAACTTAGGTGTAAGTTTGAACATCATGCAGCAGATGCACACTTTCTACTTGTACAGCGATCTTGCCTGGCGTTTGTCGAAAAGCTTTAATCTTCCTGCTGATTTAGAGAACAACTGCACCGTTAGAAAGTTTCAACACTTTTTAAAGAACTTGGAATGAGGAAACTGCTAAAAGTGCCGTCATTTGTTGTGAATTTAACTCTGTGACTCTTTTCGTGTTATTTTTAGTCGGAGATGAGGAGCTGCAGCCTGCAGACCCCTGACAGTCGGTACTAAATGCACAGCACAGTTAAATAAATAATATATATATATATATATATATTACCTTCAATGGTATCATATTTAACACTCACCTTGCATTCTATGGCTATCTGCAGAGAATGGCACCACTGAGAAGGAGGATACCGACAGGCTGGTTTGGGATGAGACTTCCCAAAACCATCTCTACCAGCAAAGAGGAGGAAAACCACGACGAGCAGCTCTGGAAGCTTCATGTTGGTCTCAGCAGAAACATCCTCCCTGCACTGAGATTAAACAAGGACCGAGAGCTCCTCCCAGGAGATTAAAGATCAGCTGATCAGCCAGGTGTTGTGCAAGCATCACTCACTCCTGAGTCCCATGGCGAGTCCATATGTTTGTTACATCTTTAGATAAAATGTGAAATATTTTAATGATGCACTGAGCGTTCTCATTCATTAAGACTAAAGAAATCGGAGGTCTTAATTAAGGCGACTTGTTTGATTCTTAACCAAACATGTGGTTTAATTTGTAAAACTTTATTTAGGATCGCAGGTTTTTCTTGTTTAATTAGGTTTCCCTGTCCAACATGGCTCTGCAGCATCGAGGAACCGAACACCTGCATTGACGTAAGAAAAATTAAATTAAATTTCTAAGTTCTAGTGCGTTCAATGAGTCAAAGAAACACAAGCTGTCAAACAGGTCAAATAAATCTCTGCTGTGTTCAAACAGAACTGCTGGGGTTGTTCTGACTCAGAAGCTCTTTGATTAAAAAACAAGAGGAAAACACGTTTAAAAGTTTGTTTTTCTGACAGAACGCTGGTTGTTTTAGGTTGTTCACTTTGAATTCACGTTTAAAAATTAGGTTTGCATGTATGAAAGTTGATAAACTGGTCAAATTATTCATAATAATTAAATAAGAAAAAAGACATTGACTTGGGTGGATATTAGAGTGGAAGAGAGGCAGATGACGCGTCCCTTTAATTAATTTGTTAAAAAATAAAAAGTTTAGGCGTATCTATTATTTCTCAAAACATTTATGCAACTTTTTTCCCCCCATTTTATAGGATTTGGCGTATTTTTCCAATTAGACCATTTTAATAAAGTAACTATAGTTTTGAACTCGTAATATCTCCTCTGTGGAGCTGAGTCTGGGTCTGCTCTCGTCGCTTGTCGAGTTTATTTTGCAGTTTCACTCCATAATGTTTGATTTTGGAGATCACTTGTCTGTTAGAAGACGTCACCCACCTGAAGGACGTGCTTCTATGATTGTACTCATGCAGAGAAATAGTCATTGTATAATTCACAATCTGCACTCACTCAATGATAAGGGATTAATCTACTTTTAATCTTTAATCTGACGTCTTTGTGACAGCTGTTTGTGTTTCTCCTGGACGGCCCGGCGGCTCATTGTAGAACCGGCCGTCTGATTTGATGCAACAAGAAGGTGAAGGTGATTCCTCTGTGTGGACTGTGTTCATGTCATTTAGTGTCAAGTCACAACCCAAGTCCTGTTTGTGTTGTGTGGGTGTGTTGTGCTCTTGTTGTGTAGATGCTTATGAAACATTCACACTATTGTGACCCATTTGTCTTCCGTGTATTTTCGGTGCAATTCTTGTCCCGCAGTTTTCAAGCTGTTTCTAGAAACCATAAATCAAGACATTCGGCTCTTTCAGGACAATCCTACTGTGACTTTTGTTATTGGTGTAACTTTGGCTTTTTGAAATATTTAGCCTTTTCTGACACTTTTTTTCTCATAGTAAATGAATTGAGCTCATTTGACATCCTTAAAATCTTTAGATGTGTTTACAACCTTTTACTGCTCCTTTCACATTTTGTTCTGCTTCGGCTTCTTTCAGCTTCCTTGTGCAAATTTTAACTTTTTTCAGCTACTTTCAGCTTCAGCTGTTTTTCAACTCCTTTTAGATTCTTTTTGCTAACTACAATAATTTTGTGCTTCTTCAACTTCATTCTGCTAATTTCAGCTTGTTATGCTCCTTTCAGCTACTATTTTCTACTGTTTCAGTTTTATGCTACCGGTTAAGCTTTTTCCGGTAATTCCACATTTTTTGCACTCATTTAAACTTTTTCCATCCTAATTCAACAAAAATGTGCTCTCTCTACTTTCTTCTGGAAATTTCAACTTCTTTCTGCTTTTTTAGCTACATTTCAGCTGGTTTTTTTTTTTGCTAATTTCAGTTTTTTCAAATTATTTCCACTTTTTTGTGCTCATCTCTGCTAAACGTGTTCTTTCTGCTTTCTTCTGCTAATTTAAGCTTGTTCTTACCTTTTTACCCATTTTTAGTCAATTTTGTCTGTTTTCAGATAAATTCAAGTTTTTCATGCTAATTTCTGCTACTTTGAGCCTAATTAACTTATTTATGCTACCTTCAGCTTAAGTGCCTTTCAGCTTAATTTAGCTAGTTTCAGCTATGTCTGCTTTAGTATTTAACTGTTTTATGCTCATTTTAGCTTTTCCAGCTTAATCCACCCTTTTTATAGCCAATTTCAGCTCTTTCAGCTTGTTTCTGGCGTTTTAAGTTTCTTTCTGTTTTTCAGCTACTTTTCAGCATTTTTTTGTTGCTAAATTCAGCTTTTTTAGCTAATTTCCCAATTTTTGTGCTCATTTTCGCTTATTTTAAACCTATTTCAGCAAGTTTTCTTTTTCATTTACCCTTTATTTATACAGGTAGAGTCTCATTGAGCCACGAGAACTCATTTTCAAGAGAGACCTGTTTAGGGAGCAGATGGTGGGGGTTAAGGGCCTTGCTCAGGGGCCCAGGGTGGGGCGAATGAGGGTGGAGGCAGGTGTTGGTGTTCCACCTTTTCCACGCACATTTTATTGTTGACGGTACCGGGAGTTGAACCTGCGACTTTCCGATCACAGGCCCATCTTCTAACCTCTGCGCCACCACTCCCCCTGCTCTTTCTCATTTCTTCAGCTAATTTAGGCTTGTTCTTCCATTTCAGCTACATTTCAGCCTGTTGTTTAGCTAATTTCAGTTGTTTTTCAGCAAGTTCTTCAGCAATAAGCATTCACACTGAATTTTCACAGGAAATGCAATTTCTCTAGTTCAGTTCTGTGACTGCAGTTTACTTTGGTAAATTAAAAACTGTGAGATGCACAGAGGTTGGGAGTCCTGACATTTTTATTTACAGTAAATGTTAAGGCATTTATTCTCCATGATGTTTGCTTCATTACTCCTCGTTTGTGGCTTTAGATCAGATGCTAAGTACAAAAAAATAAAAAAGCTTTTGAGTTATTCAGGGTATAAAATGAGACAAACCACTGGATTATTTTAATTTTATTTGGGATCTCAAGGTGCATACTTCAACAACAACTTTCAGAAACACCAAAAATAGTTTTAAAACCACTTTTTCATCTGATATAACTCCTTTAAAGAAACAAGCTACTTTAGTTTCAACACACTGAAGGTTTTTGCATATTTAACACTGAAAGTAAACATTTACAGTAACAGATTTTTTTTTTAAATTGGTGATGAACAGCTAGTTAGATCAAACAGAAAACACATTTAAACACAATGAAGAAAAAGAAAACACAAAGTTACAGAAACATCATTTCAACACTTTATCTTTGATTGTGATGCAGAGACCAGAAGAGGTATTTATTGATAAGCACAACTCATAAAGCCCGTCTCCTTCGAAAAGGGTAATGACCTTCTCATCTAACTCAAATCAACTTTATAAGATTTAATTATAGCAAAGCTGACCAAAAAAATAAAATAAAATAAAAAAAACCTCAGTAACTGATCCAAATAAGATACAAATAAATAAAGTGCAAGAAACCAGCATGTTATAGCATGGAAGACAGTTTAGGGTGAAAGTCAAACTATTAAATAGCTCCAGTTCTGTAAACCTACAAAGACCTGCTGAATAACGTATATTTCGGACTATAAGTTGCACTTAAAACCTTTTAAATTTCTCAAAAATCGACAGTGGGCCTTATAATCAGGTGCGCCTTGTGTATTAATTCTGGTTGTGCTCACCGACCTCGAACTGAGTTCATGTCGTTATTGTGAATGAGCTGAATGAAGTTTGACTTATCCGTTTTGTTTCACTTAATGCACCTTTATGTATGAAAACAGACCTGCTCATTGATATTGCACCTTATTGGGGGGGCCGAGATGGTGTAGGGGCAGGACAGCTGACTCGGGACCCGAAGGTCCTGGGCTCGATCTCTGGTCATTGCACATCTCGTGGTGTCCTTGAGCAAGACACCCAACCCCGGATTGCTCTCCGGGCGCCTGCATAGCCGCCCACTGCTCCACCTGGGTGTATCCCAGTTGCGATGGGTTAAATGCAGAGAACCAATTTTCGTCTTTGTAAGGGAACATACAATGATGACAACGCATAGCACTTTATTTATTATTATTTACTATATTATATATATATTATATACTCTACAACCATCACTGCCGCCATCAAACACAATAAAGATTAAATACATGCTGAACTTTGCTAAAACACACACTCTGCCACACACTCAACATCCAACAATAAAATGTGTTGTAAAACGTCTGTCCTTATCAATGTTCCAATACATACTGAACATTATTATTGATATTGTTTATCTTGTTTCTTTATATATTGTTTTTAACATTAGGAACTTTTTGTGTGAATCTTTTTATCGGTTGCTGCTGAATTTCCCATCCATGGGGCTGTTTCTATTCTATTATTATAATGTAGTGCGCCTTATAGTCAGAAAAATACGGTAACTTTCCTCCTTCCTCTCCAGCATCACACTCCACCCAAACCTTCAGTTTTCTCGTGCATGACCAAAATAACAATCTGTAGCTGCAGTTTAAACCCTGAACCTTTCACCACTTCCCTCACCTTCAGTCCTACACGCAGACTCATGTTCGTGCTGATGTTCGGAGTAATGTTTTTATGCTATTAATGCTTAGCAGGGTTCGGAAATATATGGGATTAATGTTGATATAAAAAAGAAGCCAGTTTTGTTTTTTAACATGTTACAAAAACGTTTTAAACTCCTCCTCCGTGGCTTTCACCCTTCTCAGTCCTTCTCTTCCTAAACCCTGTAAAGTCCATGTGGTGATAAAATAAGTTGCATGAATCTACCGGAAGATGCATTTTTGTTGTGGTCTCTACAAAACTGTGCGGCTGCGTTTTGAAAATCACTACATATTTTTGAGTGCACGGCTTTAAAAAATGGCCGTGCTGTTTTGTTGTCCACCTCCGTACTTGTCGTGGTCTGTGTTTTTCTGTTTATTTAGTTCCTTGAGTTTATCTTTTAGTTTTATTTATTT